TCAACGTTAGAAACAAACTCGGCTTCATTGATGGTACGATCTCGAAACCTCCTTCTGATCATAGAGATTCCGGTTCATGGTCAAGATGCAATGATATGGTTTCCACTTGGCTTATGAATTCTGTGTCTAAGAAGATAGGTCAGAGTTTGCTTTTTATGTCTAGTGCTGAGTGTATGTGGAAGAATCTCATGACTCGCTTTAAGCAAGATGATGCACCTCGCATCTATGAGATTGAACAGAAGTTGAGTACTATTCAGCAAGGCTCTCTGGATATTAGTACCTATTACACCGAACTTGTGACACTTTGGGAGGAGTATCAAAACTATGTAGATCTCCCTGTCTGTACGTGTGGTAAATGTGAGTGCAATGCTGCTGCTTCTTGGGAGAAGATACAGCAGAGGAGTCGTGTTATGAAGTTCTTGATGGGTTTAAATGAGTCTTATGAGGCTACACGGCGTCAGATCTTGATGTTGAAACCAACTCCACCTATTGAAGAGGTCTTTAATTTGGTTACTCAAGATGAGCGTCAGAAGAGTATTAAGCCAACTACACGGGTTGATAATGTTGTCTTTCAGAATTCTGCAAGTGACTTTGATCAGAGTTCTTATTTAGGCCCGGTTGAGAATGCTGCTTATGCTGCTGTTAACAGTAACTATCGCTCTAGACCACGTCCTGTGTGTACGCATTGTGGTGTTGTGGGACATATTGTGCAGAAATGCTTTAAGCTCCATGGTTATCCCCCTAGTCACAGATTCTACAACAACAATCAACCACAACGCAGCAATTGTCAGAGTCATTCTCAGGCTAACTCTACTCAGAGACCATCTCAGACGAAGCATGTGCCATCTTATTCGAAGCAGAACAATGTTGCTAATGTTACGAATACTACCTCGAATGCTTCTTCGGCTGGGTCTTTGGAACTGAGTGCTCTTCACCCTGATCAAGTTCAACAGATTATTCAACAGTTACAGTCACAGATACGACCTCCTGAACCAACGACTTCACATTCATTGGTTAATGCGTCAATCACAGATAATGGTTTCATGGCTGCTCAATCTTCAAGTGGTATTGTCTCTCATAATTTTCCTTTTCCTTCTACTAGCCTACGTTATGAGCATCATTCATTAACCTTTCAACACCAAACACTATCTTCTTTAACCACAAACTTACCCTTAGGTTCTTGGATCATTGATAGTGGTGCTACTACCCATGTTTGTTCTGACTTGTCTCTTTTTAGTTCCATCTCTCTTGTTACAGGAGTCACAATTTCTCTTCCAAATGGCACTAAGGAACCGATCACTCATACTGGCACAGTGCATTTATCTGCATCACTTGTCTTGTTGAATGTTTTACATGTTCCTTCTTTTCGGTTCAACCTTATTAGTGTTAGTAGTTTGTTAAAACAACATCATCATTCTGCTCATTTCTTTTTTGATTCTTGTCATATTCAGGAGCATACTCAGGGCTTGATGATTGGTAGAGGTTCTGTGCTTCATAATCTTTACGTGCTTGATCAACAAACTCATTCTCCACCTTTGAACTTCTGTGGATCCTTGAAGGTTGATGGTTCTCTTTGGCATCAACGCCTCGGACATCCATCTTCTGCCAAGTTACAACATCTTTCTGCTGATATTGGATTAGATAAGTCTTCTTTACTTGAGTCTTCTAGTTGTTCTGTGTGTCCTCTAGCTAAACAACGTCGTCTTCCGTTTCCACATAAGAATAATATGTCTAAGGAACCATTTGATCTCATTCATATCGATACTTGGGGTCCATTCTGTGTTGAGTCTGTAGAAGGTTATAGGTACTTCCTTACAATTGTAGATGATCACACTCGTGTAACCTGGATTTATATGATGAAATATAAGAGTGATGTTTCTGTTATCTTACCTTCTTTTGTCACACTTATACGCACTCAATATCAAACTAATATCAAAATGATACGAAGTGATAATGCTCAAGAACTTGCCTTTTCTAACTTGATTCGTGAACATGGAATTGTACATCAGTTTTCTTGTGCTTATACTCCTCAACAGAATTCTGTTGTTGAGCGTAAGCATCAACATCTGTTAAATGTAGCACGAGCTTTAATGTTTCAATCCCATTTACCTTTACAATACTGGAGTGACTGTGTACTTACTGCTGTTTTTCTTATTAATAGAACTCCATCTTTACTTCTTAATAAACTGTCCCCTTATGAGAAATTGACTGGCAAGAAACCTGATTACAACTTTCTTAAATCTTTTGGTTGTCTATGTTATGCCTCCACTTTACCCAAAGATAGACACAAGTTTTCACCTAGAGCAGAACCATGTGTTTTCTTGGGTTATCCTCCTGGTATTAAAGGTTACAAGGTCCTTAATATTGAAACTTGAGCTATTACTGTTTCTCGTAATGTCATGTTTCGGGAATCTGATTTTCCCTTTGCAAAACTTACTGATGTTTTCACACCTGATAATGTTTTCTCTGAGTCGATATTGCCTTTACCTATTCCTGTTGCTCTTGATTCTCCCATTTATAATCATGTTCATTCTCATACATCATCATCATCTTCCTCATTACCTACGGTTCCTTCACGTGTTCCTTTGGAAAGAGAAGATGTGACTACTGCAACAACAGATGTTGTACCTGAAAGAGCCAGGCCAAAACGAACAGGTAAGGCACCTACTTATCTTTCTGATTACCATTGTTCTTTAATTTCTATGAACTCTGCTTTAGATACTCATTACATTGCTAACATCATTTCTTCCTCAACACCTCAACCTCTTTACCCGCTTTCATCTGTCCTTTCCTATGATAATATTTCTTTTCCTTTTAAAGATGCTATTCTCACCTGTTCCCTTGAGACAGTACCTACATCTTTTAAGCAAGCTGTGAAATCTGAATTCTGGACAAAAGCCATGAATGTTGAGTTTGAGGGAATGGATCGTAATGAGACTTTTACTGTTGTTTCTCTGCCTCCGGGTAAGAACGTTGTGGGTTGCCGATGGATATATACGCTCAAGTATAATGCCGATGGGACGTTGAGAGACCTAAAGCACGTCTTGTTGCTAAAGGTTATACTCAACAGGAAGGTTTGGATTATACTGACACGTTTTCTCCTGTTGCTAAGATGACTAGTGTGAAGCTTATACTTAGTCTTGCAGCCTCACATGGATGGATTTTGGATCAAATGGATGTTACTAATGCCTTTTTGCATAGTACTCTAGAGGAGGAGATTTATATGAGTTTGCCGTTGGGATATACACCACCTCCTGGTGTCCTTATGCCTCCCAACCCGGTTTGTCGTCTCAACAAATCAATTTATGGCCTAAAACAGGCATCACGGCAGTGGTATACCTGTTTTTCATCGGTTCTTTTAGCTGATGGATTCTTACCTTCGCCTGGAGATCATTCTCTTTTTGTGAAGAAGTCCGGAGCATCTTTCATTGCTTTACTTGTCTACGTAGATGACATTTTGATTGCAAGTAATGATCCTCAGGCTGTTCTTGCTGTCAAACGAGTTTTGCATCAAGCTTTCAAGATCAAGGACATGGGTGCAGCTCGTTTCTTTCTCGGTCTTGAGATTGCAAGGAACTCCACTGGTATTTCTGTCTCTCAACGTAAATATACTTTGGACCTACTTGCTGATACGGGTTTACTTGCATCCAAGCCATGTGCTGTCCCTATGGATCCTTCTCTGCCTTTGAGTGTTAATACAGGCATTCCTTTACCAGATGCTACACCTTACCGAGAGTTGGTTGGACGTTTACTATATCTCACGATAACTAGGCCTGATATTACATATGCTGTACATCGGTTAAGCCAGTTTCTCTCAGCTCCTACTGATGTTCACTTTCAAGCAGCTCAACGGATTTTACGTTATCTGAAGTCTAATCCTGGTCAAGGATTGTTCTATGCAGCTGATTCAGACACTTGCTTGAATGCGTTTGTGGATGCAGATTGGGCTTCTTGCCCAGATACTCGTCGTTCAGTTACTGGGTTCTGTGTGTATCTTGGTCGCTCATTGATTAGTTGGAAGTGCAAGAAGCAACAGACAGTGAGTAGAAGCAGTACTGAAGCAGAGTATAGGAGCATGGCTTTGGCAACGTGTGAGCTTATTTGGTTGCAGCAGCTTCTTACTGACTTGAAGGTTACGGTTCAACACACAGCTAAGCTCTTCTGTGACAATAAGTCTGCTATTCATATTGCCACTAACCCTGTGTTTCACGAGAGGACGAAACATATTGAGATTGATTGTCACACTACACGGGATCAGGTCAAGAAAGGTTTCATTCGACTCATTCATGTTGTTAGTGCTGACAATCATGCAGATATCTTCACTAAACCGCTTCATCCATCTCCCTTTCATCACATTCTATCCCGTATGTCAGTCTCAAGCCTCTTCACACCATCATTATCTTCACCATCCTCAGCTCTACCGCCTATATCATCATCTCCACCTCTACCGCCTATATCATCATCTCCACCTACCATTTCAGAGGCTTGAAGGGGGCGTATTAAGTATACTAGTCTCTATATACTTGGATTGAAACAGAGTATTAGATAGTCTCTAATACTTGGATAGAAACAGAGACTTAGGATACTTTTCTACTTGTATATAAAGACATTCCCTTGTACATGATTCATTAAGTTTATACGATACAGTTTTAAGTTCTTGGCTCTCTCTTTCAATATCTTGTTAGAACCAAAACGAAACAAACTTGCACCGAAGAAAAAAAACGAAACAACCAGTATATATCCATCAGACAATCAATTAATCTAAGGGTAAAATCGAAAAGAAAATTAATTAGTATCCGAAAATCATACCCGTTACATAACGAAAAAAAAAAAAAATACTTGTTATATATATATTAATTAAGTAAAATGATAAATGCTCGAATTAATATTTTGTGGCCAAGGAAGTTACTCAGGTTAAGGACATACCTAACAACTAGAAAGAACCAATGCACAGATTCGTGGTCACATCTGTATTTATGATTCGATATAATCAACAAAATTGAATAATGATGATGCATTGCTAAAACGCATGTGCAGTTTGTTACGATTTAATACGAATGAAAAGAAGCTTATGGTATACACTATACTTCCAGTGGACAATAACCATTTCGGAAGGTATGACAAAGAATAAACATAATAAAAATAATAATTTGTTTTTTATGGACCAAATTAATTATACATGTGGTGATTACTAATCAAGGCAACGAACGAATCCACATGGAAGGATTCTTGGTCGCCAACTAGTTATACTCTGGGTTCACACACAAAAGGCCACGTGTCCTATAATTTACAGAGTGGATTAAAGAGATTAGCCAGCTAATTTAAAAGAGAAAATTCTAATAATCAAATCCATCAATCAATTTTAATCAATCACTAATAACAGTCTAAAACATAGATGAGTATATATCCAATCCCAGAAATAAGAAAAAGATTGTAACGAATAAAAACCAAACTAGTTACATAATAATAGACTACTAATTATTAGATTCTTAAAGATAAATCTTCTTTCTTGATGACTTGGTCGTGACCGGTCAACAAAAGCGGTTTTTTACCGGTCAACGGACTTAAAATCTCTTCATCCACGACAGTGTCGTGATGAAGGCTGAGCTCCGGTAACGCCGGGAGGTTTAGATCGATCAATTCACGGTTGCTTCGTTCTTCAGAAACCGTACTTGACACGCTTCCACTGTGACTCACCGACTTGCTTCCGCCGCCTCCGCCAAGGTTTCCTTCGTAGTGACATCGTTTGTGTCCGCCTAGAGCTTGACCTGTCGGAAACACTTTATGGCAGATAGAACACTCGTGGATCTTCCCGGAAGGAGCGATGGTTGTGGACGTCGGATGCTTTTCTCCGGCGACGCTCGGAGCTGTTGAATCAACGGTGGTTGGAGGTTTGATGCGGTGGCTGGCTTTGTGGCCGCCTAAAGCCTGATACGAAGGAAACGCTTTTCCACAAACGCTACACTTATACGAAAGCTTGGTCGTTTCTTGAGACGGTTGTGACGGTTGAGGAAATCGCGTCTGCGGTTGGTCTTTGGCGAGCATGAGGAGACAGAGAGCGAGATACTCTTCCTCCGTGAGATCCTCATGACTTTCAGATTTAGCGTGAGATCGACGCGGCGAGGAGGAACGGTTGGGAGAACGCTGGCGTTTCGAGCGTTTGCGTTTCAGCCAAGGCTCCATGAAGACGGCGTCGTTCATCAGATCATTTGTTGTTTCGATCCTGTCTTTTCGGACTGTGAACGAGGACGTAGTTGTCGGAGAATTCATCGCTTCGAGAGCCATAATCAGACAAGTCTTTCTGTGTTGTGTCTTCTTCAGAGAGTTTGAGAAACTTGAGAGTATTATCGCGAGAGAGAAAGAGAGAAGAATATGGAGTGAAGTGCTAAAGAAATGTCTGGACTCTGTTTTTATATGGATGAGTATTAAGTCGGTCAATAATGTTTATCTCTTTATTGCGTCATCTATACATACTCTGTTACTTAAGAAGCCTAAACACTGTAGTAAATAGAAGGAAATTCTTATAAAGTTGGAAATAAATCATAACTTATCAACAAGGATTCTATTAGATATTATTTTTATTGCATTACATATTAGTCTTGAATATGTATCAGATTATAAAATTATGGTTCCAAATGCAAATGGGATACATACTAATGATTTAACTATCAAATCTGAGGTTAACACCTTTTATTTTCTTTAACACTATCATATTAATGTCTTTTGCTTATGTTTATACAAATAGCCACTGATAATAGTTTGTAAAGTAAAGAATCTCCCATTATCTAAAAATTGTTTTTTATAACTAAATAACTGTAGATTGTAAACTAAATTTGACCAAAGAAACTAAGGGAAGTATCGATGAATTTACGGCAACATACCAGATTCTTGGTCACGGCTGACCTAATAAGGTATTAGCCATCACGAGTGCGAGACCGGTTCAACGTCTAAAACCAGAAAAACAATAATTTGGTAAACCCAAAAATAGATGAATTTTCTGATTTTATCTAATATAAAATTTGTGACAAAAAAAAACTCTAATATAAAAATTAAACTAAATAAAAAAGTTTTCTCAAAAAAAAAAACTAAATAAAAAAGTACCATACCTTTCCCGTGGAGCTGACTTATGTGTTGGCTACGAGCCACGATACGTGTGGGGCACGTCTTAAACCAAACGCGTACACGCCTAATTACGGTTTTATCGGTACTAATCTTTCAAATATTTATCAAATTTTCTACATTATTTTAAGTATCTGATTGGCATGATCTCAGTTATTTATTAATGGGACCCTTTATTAATACTTACCGCATGGCAACAATCACTAAGTAATCAATAATCATAATGAATTTCATAAAAAAAAATATTTCATTAATGAATTTTTTTTTAAATATTTGGAAATAACTCGTTAATATACGTCGAATGAAAGAAATACCTGGATGCCCCGGGAACACGTAGGAATCTTGAGCTAACTTCAGTGGAGTTGAGTGTAGGTGAGGACAAAGTTCGTATGTGGCGTGCCGTACCGTATTAGCAACTGAAAGGCGGCGTGTTTATAGGACACGTGGTAGTTCCGTTACACTTGTAGGCGGATGTCACTTTTCTTATTATACCCAACAAGCAAAACCGAGTGAACGTGATTTATCCAAACGCGTTGGCGGAAACGTCACGTGGCGGCGGTTACACGTGTCAACTTGATCAACTGACAAACAATCTTTGACGAGAGACATTCTAAGACGTTTTCTTTCTTTGACATTTTAATTTTATTCTCCTTTGCTTGCAGAAGTGTGCAGTACAATGGTTCTTACGTGGCGGCGTAGTACTGGTCAGCTGTTTCCAAGATTATTACTTTTGTTTCGGAATTGGCAGCGATGGCAAAGTCAGATCGGTATCGTCTCTTTGTCGCTACTTCCTGCCTTTTTTTTCTTTGTATACTGAAGGAACACATGTATATGATTTGAAAGCACTGTGAACAGGTGCTGCATTTAAAAAAAAAAAACTAATTGTTATACTTCAGAACTGTTTTCAATGTTGGCGAAAAAAACATTTTGGGGATGCATAGTGCGCGGCGTTGACTATGCGTATGCTAGTGCGCGGCGTTGACTATGCGAATGCTTGCAGGTATGTAGTGTTTGAACATGATCTCGATGCTAATTAAGTTTGAACAATAACATTGATAGTACTTTAACATTTTGACCACACAAAATAACATTAACGGTCTCTCGAGCTTTCCTATCTAGAAAATTCTTAGTTTAGTAAAAACTAGGAGTGGACACAAATCGAATAACACCATATTTGTGATTTGCTTCGTAAGTTACGGATATAGATATCTGATTTTTCGATTTGTTTTACTTCGGAGAAATATGAATATCCGGTTTTCAGATATCTGATTTTTTTAGATATTTTTGAATATTTATGGATATCTCATCTACTTTATTTAATCCTAGAAAAATTATATAAATTATTTGAAAAAAAACTTTTACATAATATGAATGAAAAAATAAAAAGTTAATGAAACTTAGAGAGAATACCATTACTTGAAAGAGGATGAGTATTCCAAAAAAAAAAAGGTGGTCTTGGATTCAGAGATCTGGAGAAATTTAACCAGGCCTTGTTAGAAAAGCAAGTATGGAGGATCTTACAAAACCCGGGATGCCTCATGGCAAGAATCCTAAGTGCAAGGTATTTTCCTGATGGTGATATATTAAATACAGTGCAGAAAGCGAAGGCATCATATGGATGGAAATCAATACTTTATGGATGAGATCTTGTTAAGCAAGGTATGAGATATGTGATTGGAAATGGAACAAGAATAAATATGTAGAAAAATCCATGGCTACCAGAACATACACCTCGACCACCACGAGCTCAAATTCAATCTCCAGAGGAGATTATGGTTTGTAATTTTGTTACTACTGATGGTAATGAGTGGGATATAACCAAACTGAGACAGATGGTTGTTGAAGAAGATGTACAGAAGATCACCTCAAAGGCTCACCAAGATCTTCTAGGATGGCATTACAATGAAAATGAGATTTATACAGTGAAGTCATGTTATTGGTTGAGTACTCACCTCCCAAATGAAGATCATCTGCCCCTTATTACAGGCAATGTATCACTCAAGCAGAGGATATGGAAAACAAAGATTCCACCAAAACATAAGCATTTAATATGGAGAATGTTATCCAATGTATTACCAACTGGAAGTAACCTCCAACATATAACACATGACAGTGTGTGTAAGAGATGTTGGAATTCAATAGAAACAGAGGAACATCTATTCTTTCACTGCGTGTATCCTCAAGCTATTTGGAGGGCCTCTGGAATTGCAAATACAATTATCAACAACCCAGCAGCAACACTTGAGGAAAAACTTGAAGAATGTATAAGAGATTCAATGTCGGCTACACTACAACATCTACATGATCTACCAATCTGGATTTTATGGAGAATATGGAAGGCCCGAAATGTTTTATTATTTCAAAAAAAAATGGACACATTGGAGGACTACACTAAAGAATGCATATAGTGATGCTCAATAATGGTGGAGTATTGTAAGAGACCAAGATCCATACCCTTCTTAGATCACTAGTGTACAAGACAACAAATACAAGAGAGATGGAAGAGACCAAGTACACGTTGGTTAAAATATAATGTTGATGGTTACTTTGTTAATGATACACTTCCAGGACGTGTTGGATGGATAATTCGTAATGAAGATGGAGTTTATAAAGGAGCTGTTCAAGCACAGGGGAAACAAGTATCTGATGCTTTAGAATGTGAATTTCAAGCTATCCTTATGGCAATGCAACATGCTTGGTGTCAAGGAAATAAAAAGATAATTATTGAGAGTGATTGTAAAAAGGCGTTAGAAATACAGACATATCAAAGACTCCATTTCAACGGTTATAATTGGAAGAGAGAAATACTATGGTGGAAGAATCAAGTGGGTGAAGTTCAGTTTCTCTGGATTAATCGATTATCACAAAGTTGCGGGCAAGCTTGCTAAGGAAATCCCTCCTGATCCATCTCAATATTTGTTTTACACCTATGTTCCAAATTTAATTATTCATGAACTTCATGCTGACTATGTACAATCTCATTAATTCAATAATATCAAGTGTTATAAAAAAAACAAGTTAATGACTATATGTTCCATAAATTTTAAAAATTCCTCAAACTTTCTCATAAACACACAAAATTTTAGAAAATTTTAGTTTTTGTAAATATTATATAAGTAATTTTTAAATAAAATTAACAAAATGATATATTAAAATACTAGTTATATAAAATTATACATATAAAATCTATATTATATGTATGTATACATCTATTTGTATAATGTCAGATCAGATCTGATATCTAGTTCTAAATTTTTTAGTATTTGTGGTTTGCTTTGTTTCTAACGGATATTAATTTTTAGTATTTGGTTTGTTTTGACAACTTACGGATATAATTCAAATCAAAACGAATAACGAATCGAATCAAATTTCACAGATAAAATGCCCAGTAATAACATATTATAGGCGTCATTGATACATACTTTGAAAAGTCTTTATTCAAACCATAATGGACGATGTAAACTTTGATTCTTAACGTAAAGCTTTTTTTTTGTTAAGTAACTACATCTGAGACTCAGATATTATTTTTTTCAACATTTTGGTTCCTTTCTTACTGCCACCAAAGTAAAAGAGTGAGTTTTACTGAGATCATATTCCAGATGATCTTAGGAATATGTCTCAGCCTGAGAAAAGGAGGTAGTCTTCACTAAAATAGCAGACGAGATGTGTTCCATAGTTATCCCAGTGGACCAAGTTAATTGACTTGCATGCTTTCCGTGGTTGTTGACAACATCCAGAGTTGCTAGTTTTTATTCTTTCAGATCCCAACTACACATCTTACCTCAGTTTGAAATTTGTAATTAGGCTGGGTATTTTATCCGTTATATTTGATTCGCTTCGTTATTCGTTTCGATTCAATCCAAAAATTCCAGATATCCGTAAACTTTCGAATCAAAGCTGGATATCCGATTTGGTCTGGCAATATATAAATACATGTATATCTTGATTATATTTAAAGTCTTAAATGTATAAAATTCTATAATTACTATTCTAACAAATGATTTGACTAATTCTATTCACATTATTACTTGTATAAAAGTATTACATAAAAAGAAGAGAAAAAAATTATGACAATTATAATTTTGTTTCTTAAATTTTGTGTTATTATAATTGTTAATTAAGTTTAAACAAATTATAAAATATTTTAATTCACTAATTCTTTTAATTTTTATCTTATATCTCATGCAAAAATATATTTTTCAAAAAACAATCTGTATTGAATTTATAAGATTATTAGTATTAATCAAAACAGATGAGATATCCGTAAGTATTCGTAAATATCTGCAAATATCTATTTATTTTCCGGATATCCGTTTTTTGAATATTCGTACTTTTTCGAAGCCAAGCAAATTAGAAAATTAGATATTTGTAACATACAAAGCAAATCACAAATACTTTCAAAACTCCGGATATCCAATCCATGTCCATGCCTATTTCTAATATTTGAAAATTTACAGGGTATGCTCATAGCTATGTTGAAGGAAGGATTGCAATCAGAGGCTGCTCAGCCTAAGAAGTATATTTCCTCATGCTTTAAACTGCTTTCCTCTTTTTCACTACTCTGATTAACATATATATCTGAATTTTCTCTCAGATATGCTTTCAAATTTCATCTGAAATCAGAGGCTGGAATATACATTGTTTACCCTGTAAATGCCATTGTCTCCATCCATGAGTTCTTATCTCAGCAGTAGTCCTACTTTTTCCTAATATTCTATATTTACTACTGTTTTTAAAAGAACATATAAATAGTCCATCTAAGTAAGGGAGGAGGCAAAATTATTTAGTGGAAGTTGAATCTAATAGGAAATGTTTATATAAAAGTCCTTTTACTATTTTGTTCGTTATTCTAATATCATAGACTAAACTAGACAAATGTTTACTTATGCTAAAAAAATAAAAATAAAATAAGGAAGGTTTACTTATGCTTATGTCTGAGAGTTAATGGGAGCAATTATATATAATGCCTAGCTAATCATTTGAATTCTCTTATTTCAGTTATGGCACGTTTACAACCGGACGTTTGATAGTTTCGTGAACATTCGGGATGGGAACAACACGAAGAGGCTGCATCAACAGAGCCGGTCCTAGAAATATGTGGCTAGAAGCCAAAAAAAATTATGTGGCTGACTGGGTTCGAACTCGTGACCTCATCAGGGTGGAAGGAGTACATTTACCAGATATGCTAAAGGAAGTTTTGACAAATTAACGGCCGAATTGGTACTTAATATTTGGCGGCCGGAAGCATATTCTTGATCAGCTTATGTTCAAGGCCGCCTCTGTGTATCAAGTTTAGTAAATGACTGGATAACTTTTTTTTCATATATGCAAATGTTCCTTAGTGTGCACAAAAAATCATTGTTTGTTTATTTTACAGTATTCAAATTGGGTTTTGTCTTTGCAAACAGAACCGGTCCTAAATCAAGCCTGTTTAAGCTCCTGAAAATTTTGAAATTTTTTTTATGAATATAGACTCCTAAAGAAATTTTTTTAGGTCTCTAAATTGATTTTTAAAAAAAAATAGCTGAAACTTTTTAAAAATTGCCTAAAACTCCCAAAATTTCAGAGCCGGTCCTGTTTGCAAAGAGTGTCCTTTTTTTTTGTCACTGTGCAAAGAGTGTCTCTAATATTAACTTTTAACCCTTTTTATTATGGGTTTATCGGTACTAATATTTCCAATATGGTTTATCTAAATTTTCTAGTTTAATTATTATCATCTGATTAGCATGATCTCAATGATTTATTAGTTCTTACCACATGGCGACAATCAGTAAGTAAGCATTAATTTCTCAGAAAAAAATATATAGAAATAAGTCAATAACTCGTTAATATTCATCTAATGAAAGAAACACCTGGATGCCCCGAGAATACGTAGGAATGTTGACCTAACTTCAGTGGAGTTGAGTGTAGGTGAGGACAACGATCGTATGTGGCGCGCGGCGCGTGCCGTACCGTATTAGCAACTAAAAGGCGGCGTGTTTATAGGACACGTGGTAGTTCCGTTACACTTGTAGGCCGCTGTCACTTTTCTTGTTAAACCCAACAAGCAAAAAAGTGGACGTGATTTATCCAAACGCGTTGGCGGAAACTTCACATGGCGGCGTTTACACGTGTCATGTTCGTGGGAAGACAAACAATCATTAGACATTTTAAGACGCTTTCTCTTATTCTAATCTTCTTCTCCTTTGCTTGCAAAAACGTGAAGTGTAATGGGACCTTACGTGGCTGTGCAGTACTGATGGACTGCTGTTTCCGTTGCTTCAAGTGTTAGCCGCCACAAAAAAGTCAGATAGTGCTGTCTTTTTGTCGCTACTTGCTGTCTTCTTTTGTTTACTGTAGTAAAGTGTGTATATGATTTGAAAGCACTGTGAACAAAGGCTGCATTAAAATAGCTCCATGTTATACTTCAAGATTGTTTTCAGTGTTGGCAAAGATGACATTTTGGGGATGTATAGTGTCTAATTTTGCTCTGATGCTAGTTTGAACTATATAATGTTCCCAACCATACCTCTTACATTAGTTCGCAATTTCTAATATTTGAAAATGTACTGGGCATGTTGTTAGCTTGTTGAAATAAAGGTTGCAATCAGAGTCTGCTCAGGCTAAGGAGTATTCTTCCTCATGTTTTAAAACTTCGTATCTCTTTTTTCATGACTTCGACTTACAGATATATTTGTACTTTGTTCTCAGATATGATTTCGAATGTCATCTGAAATCAGAGGCTGGAAGATACATTGTTTACCTTGTAAATGCCATTGTCTTCCATCCAATGTGAGTTCTTACCTCAGCAGCAAGACGCCAACTGTTTCTTAGGTTTCTATATTAACTACTTTCCTTTAGTCCACCTAAAGGAAGAAGCAAAAAAATATTAGTGTCCGTTGAAAGTTAGTTAGATGTAAATATGCAATGTTTGTAAAAAAAAAAAATTTCTAACTAATTAACTAACTTTCGACTAGACTAAACTAGACAAAGGTTTACTTATGCTTTGGCTGAGAGAGTGGGAGTTAATGGGAACGATTATAATGCGTAGATACAGTGCCCTGCATAACCATCCAAAATTGTTAACTGCAGTTATGGCACCTTTGCAACCGGAGGTTGTGATAGTTCGTTAACATTGGGGATGGGAACAACAAGACGGGCCTGTATCAGGTTTAGTAAATGACTTGAGAGCTTTTTCTTTAATTATCTGAAAATGTAAATGTATTGTTATATGGTCCTCGTTTCTATTGAAATATTCGTTGATGAATTGAAGTGAAACCCATCCAAAGCAAATCTAAATCATGAAACATGTCATAGTAAGGAAGAAACAGAAGTATCCTCAAAGAGTGTCCCTAAGTATGAAATTTTAATCCCTCGTCTTTTGTTGTTGTATAAAGTAGGAAGTGAATACTAAATACAATGCTTTGTAGTTCATTTGGCTTTGATGATATATTATTATTACCTAGGAAATATTATTAGATTAATGTGAACGAATATAGTTAAACACCTCGTATTGAATATGATATAAAGATTTTGTAGTCACAATAACTTTGCAAAGACGATCAATACTTCTTACATATGAATGAGATCACAAACTTACAACACTTGACTACACTTAACAGACTTGCAATGCTTAATTGCTTATACAAAGTTTCTACCGAATCAAAGATTCTTTGTCGACACTAGTGAATTCCATCTCTTGTAGCAGCAACCTCACGTCTTTTGCTTCCAACTCCTTTTCATTGATGACTCTAAAGAATGCACAGTGAACTTCTTTAAGCAACTTCAAAACATTAGCCAATCCACCACCGTTTTCACTTTCATCTGTCTTCTCCTCAGAGTATGGCTTTGAGTGTTTGCTATTGTTCATTCTAAAATACTTGTATCTGCTAATTTCAATCAAGTTACGCTTGTGATCAGGCCACACATCACGTGTATCATCTACTATCACCACTCCACGTTCATGAGCCAAAACCAAGTCAAGCGTCTTCATGTAAGGACTCTCGTCTCTAGTTATCACTCTTTCCCCGAAATAGACTCGCTTCGGATCAATAAAGTCCAAGACGAATTTAGCGTAATCTCGATTACCCATTGTGTAAGCATAGATTGTGAACATCTTGTTTGCTTCTTCCAAGAACTCACGAAGAAAAGGCCTTAGCTTTGTCAAGAACACCATGAGATCATCTGGAACTTTCCAGATGAATAGATCTTGCCTTGTATTTGAAGCCGCTTCTTGGATTAGATACTTCTCTGCTTCGGTGAGAAGTGGAGCGCGAGTGGTGTGGAGAAGCGTGTGGTCCAAGTCAAGGACTAAGTGGAGTTTCTTCTCGTTGGAACAAGAGACTAGTGTGGTAAGGTGTTTAGTAACGGCTACAGCCTCGTGGCTTAGCTGTAAACCATGGGAAAGATAATCGAATGCTCTGCCTTGGCTTTTGTCAACCGTTGATTTGCAGGTGGTGCAGATTCCGTAACGAACGAACCAGTGGCGACATCTACTAGAACAAGAAGAAGACTTGTTGATCACGGGTTCGATTCTTTGTCTTTTGGCTCTCGGTTGTTCAAGAGAAAGATTCTCAACAACAGACATGGTTTCTTTTATCTGTTCGCTTGAAAAAAAAACCCTTCAAATTTTAAGTCGGGAATCAATAAAAAAAACCCTAGTTTGATCGAAAAGCTGGAGAGGAGAGTTGTGGAATCAGCTGTTTCTTGCTAATGATTTTACAGGAACAGGTGAATCTCTCAGTCTTTGATACTCTGTATTGTTTTATAGAGAGAGAGCGTGAGAGACTCTAATGGAAAGTATCGAAAAAAAGGAAAGTCGGTATAATAGTTGACCAAAGAAAAAAAAGGAAAGTCGTTATAATAGTTGACCATTATGCCCTTAGATCGATATGTTGTTTGTAATTTCCTTTTTAGATTGTTTCTCATTGTTTGTGTGTTTCCAGTTTCTTGGGAGCTGTCTCCAACAGTGCCGTCTTTTGCACGTGCAAACATTTAATTGACCATTATAACCCTCTTTACTTAAAGCCTAATGATTCATGAGTCCCACTAATAATATGGGTCCGGTTTTCAGCTTATTTAATTTTTTTAAAAAGGCTTTCTGCTTTATTACGAACTCTAACTACATGGGCTTTTCTGCTAATCCTAGTCCACTGATTCGATCTATATCACCTTCATACTCTGTTCTTTGGTCTTACAGATGGTTGCTACTTACTATTACTACCGCAAACAAATATATGCTTAACCGTCCACTTAAGAATAATAATCTTTGTAGTGCGAACCCAAGAGTATCCTAACTAAACCACTTTAAAAAAGGACAATTATGCATATAAATCTTTTGTATAATTGTATTTGCTTTTTGGTTATAAATGATTTAAAAAAGCAGAACCTTACTTATAATCCTCTTTAACTGGGTTGGTGTGAGAGGTTTTTCAGGCACGAACCTGAAGGCTGAAGCCATCTTTGTAAGAAATATCAAACGAAATCAAATTGAACACTAATTCCAATGCGTGACCAAAATTCTTGCAGCGTAAGTAAGAAGCATCCTCAAACACAAATTGTTGTTGACATAGCTAAGAGTGTCCCGAAGATTGGATTGATTTTTTTTTTTTTTTGTGAATATATGTTAAATTTCTTCAAAAGAAAATAGCTTCTTTTTTTTTTTCAAAAGAAAATAGCTTTTACAACAAGTGCATCATGTTTTTGCAAAAAAATAAGACACTTCAACTTTGGTTATCTCAAAAACCGATCACCTTTTGGCAAGCCACAGTGATAAACTTCCAGTAAATTTTTTGATCCCCAGGTTGGATGGAGAGACAATGATTTCTTATTTGACGGTCCAGCAATTTCACAAGTTCTCTTGCCGCTGTTTGGACTGTGCACCATGTCTTCTTTCATTCCAGAGAGTGTGAATCGTAGCTTGCCTATAGCATGGTGAATGAACCCTGAAGTAATCCACGCATTAGTGAAGACCAGACTTCGGAGGAGTAGCTAGCTACACTCTAAGAAGAGATGATCTCTTGTTTCTTGAGGGGCAAGACAGAGAGTGCAAGATTGATTGATACCTCTGTTCCAGGACACCATTCGAGTCTGTTATGGATTGCGATCCAATGAAAAAAGCATACTTTGGTGTGTGATGTTTAAACCAAACTCCTTGCCACCATGAGACCCTCTGCTCTTTTTTTCTTACGTAGTGACCAGAATGATCTATGCTTCATCAAATAAGTATGGATACAGTTAACCAATAGGGATGGTTGAAGTAACACTAATCGCCATATAAAGTTTTAAACAACAGACCTGATTCATGTCTTTTAAATAGCCAAGACGGAAAGCCTAGCCAAGACCCAAAGCCTCCTTCATGTTTCCAAGATACTTTTTCTTTCAATGTATTCAGAGTGGGTCCTGACCATAAGAAAGTAGAGCAGATACTGTTGATTTCTTGAAAGCATGCTCCTGGTAAAATAAAACCAGCCTTCCACAAGTTAACAATACTGATCAGAACTGAGCAAATGAGTTGGTTGTATCTCCCAGCTAAAGATACTATTATCAGTTGACCGTATTATCCATCAGTAAAAACCATAATGTCACCAGCTCTGTAGCAGCAATAGATTTTCGATTAGCAAGCGACCTTTCACAAAAGCTTGATTGATTGAGGGCATTCATGCAGAAATAAATACTAAGATTGATTCAAAAGTATGTTGAAGGTTTTAGTCTCTCTTTTTTTTTTTGTTCTGTAACATGAATTCATGCAGAAATAAATACTTAGATATTAATGCAAAAGAATATAGAAAAATACCCATATTCACCTCATATGGAATATGGTTTATAGTTTATACAGTTATACTCAAACAACTTTGCAAAGCTACTTCTTAAGTTCTTATACATGAAACGAGATTACAGACTTACAAAAAAACTCGATGAAACTTCTACAGATCTACAACAGATCTTTTTTGTTAACGATATCATAAAAGACTTACAATGCTTTAGTTATATAAAGTTTCTACAGAAAGTACAAAGATTACTTGTCAGACAAGACTGAATACCTCTTGTAACAGCAACCTCACGTCCTTTGACTCCAACTCTTCTCTAACTCTAAAGAATCCACAGTGAACTTCTTTTAGTACTCTAAAAACAGCAACCAACCCACTGTTGCATTCACTTTCGTCTGTCTTCTCCTCAGAGTACGGCTTTGACCGTTGGCTTTCCTTCTTCCTGAAATAGTTGTATCTGCTAATTAAAATCAAATTATTCTTGTGATCAGGCCAAACATTAAGTGTATCATCCACAATCACCACTCCACGCTCATCCGCCAAAACAAAATCAAGCGTCTTGGTACGTGGACTCTCGTCTCTCGTTATCACTCTATTACCGAAATAGGTTCGGTCCGGATCAATCAGCTGTAATATCGCTTCAGCGTAGGAGCGGGTACCCATCGTGTAAACAGACATCGTGAACATCTTGTCGGCTTCTCTCAAGAAATCTTTAAGAAAGGGACGTAGCTTCACCAAGTATCTATCGGGTTTCAACTTCCACAGATCGTCTCTACAAGTTTCTTCTTCGAGTAGATACTTCTCTGCTTCGGTGAGAGATGAAACTTCTGTGGCGTGGAGAAGCGTGTGGTCCAAGTCTAGGACCAAGTGGAGTTTCTTGTGGTGGAAGCAAGATGAGAGAGTTTCGAGGCGTTTGGTTAGCGTTACGGCGTGGTGGGTTAGCTGTAAACCGGGGGAGAGGTAATCGAAAGGTCTGCGGTGGCGTTGGTCGTCGTCGTCGACGATTGAGTTGCAGGCGGTGCAGATTCCGTGGAGAGAGACGGAGTGAGAACATGTGTTGGAATGTGGTGAGAAGGAGTCGCTGATCACGGCTTCAAATACAGACATGGTTGATCTCTGAGAATAAACCAAAACTCTCGAGTCGAGAGAGAATCGAATCGCGAGAGAAGAGAAGAAAACAAAAACCCTAATTTTTTTTTTTAAGAGAAAGATGGAGAGGAGTGAATACTGAATAGGTAGGATAGGATATCTGACCAAAAGAAAAAACAAAATCAGTCTGTATCGTATTTATAGAGTAAGAGACAGAGAGACTAGCTACAGAAAAGGAAATTATAAATCTGCATGACCATTATGCCCTTGTTCTCATTTTTTTCAAAGGAGCTCTTTTTACACTATAATCTATACGTTGGGTCGACTTTAGATTGGATGGAAGAATTTGGAATTGTTTGTTTCTTGCTTAAACTTTGTGAATTTTGAATTGTTGTTCGAGGAAAAATTGAATTAATTTAGGGCTCAAAAGTGTTTCAAATCTGTTTTCCCTTCGAGTCCAAACAATTCAAATATAATTTGGTTCAAGTATTTATTATCTAAATTATTCCGAATATTTACAAAGAAATTGAAAATATATAAATCTGAAAAATATCTTAAAATGTATTGTTAAACTTTAAAACAATAACCAAAAACCGGAAAGCTAAAAAAAAAAATTCAAAATAGCAAAAATATAATATCAGAAATAATAATGAATACATTGTCATTCAGATATGTAATGGTTTCTTAGATTAAAAAACAGATCCAAACCGATATCTAGGAAAAGAAGCTGGACAGATCAAACAAAGTAAATAGATGTAACTGAACTCGATTCACACCAACTTTTGAGAATTAATTCCAATTCAAGTTCAATTAAAATGCTCAAGCCTAGTCTTACCAATTCAATTTTTATGGGTTTTGAGCTTGGAGTTTCTACCTAATTACACACTCTAGTTCAAAAAAAATTGTGATATTTGTTTATATACCTCTTTGACATTAAACCTGAAAACTGCATTAGAGAAACAACGAAAACTTACTACACAAATTCGTACTATCACGACCCAAAAAAATCAAAACCTAAAAGCAAATTTGTTTTTCAGTAGTATTGTTGATGAGACATGAGATTAGTACTATTACGTTGATGACTTAACAAAGAAGTTTTCTCAACATGTCTCAAAAGAATCCTATAAATCTTGCTCCTCACTCTACCACAAGCCTCTGTTTCAGACTCTGTCATCATCACCACTTCCTCCTCTTCTCCTTTAACCATAGCGTCTAACCAATCACTCACTCGTTTTATCTGATACATCGTTTCCCCTACTTGTTGACTGCTCATCTCTCTCCACTTTGCTACATTACTGATCTCATCTAAATACTTCTCAACACGGCTCAAGTACCATCTTCTTCCTTCTTCTTTAACCAAGTTTCTGAGTTCACTTGCTGCTCTGCTTAGCCTCTTCTTCCTTTCTCCGGACGCTGAGTCTCGTTCACTTGTGTTATCTTCACGGTTATTGGTTTCTTGAGCGATTAGGGTAAAACTCTTTCTCGCGGGACTCTGCGTAGGCTTACTTGTGGGTAAAGAAACATGTTTGAGATCCGTAGCTACAGCTGATTTGATCCACTGAGTCGCCTTTTCACGTCTCTCCTCTCCCTTTTTTGAGTTGCAATGCTCTGCTTCCTCAGTTGCTAATGATTGAATGATTAGCCTGCTCTTGCTTAACTCATCTTGGAAACTCAAGAACTCTCTAACTGGTGGGGACTGTTGGTTATGATGGTGTTGATTTCTCTTCTCTGAAAGCTCCGAGTATGACCTAAACATTATCATTTATTTCAGTGATTTTGCTTGTCAAACAAGTTACATTCACTTAATTACCTTAGACATTTGAGCAATCTCTCAGCAGCTGAAGCCTCTAGCAAAGCTTGAGAAGCAGCGCAAATAGCCTTATCTCTCTGCCTCAGAATCTCCTTTCCTAGGTGTACAACTTTGGGAGGAAGTGAGTTCCAGAGAATCTCTGTCTCTGTCCAGCTTCTTTTCCTCGATATCGAATCCGAGGATTCAAGGGTATTGCTTTTAGGTGGAAGAAGGTTCTTGCTCTTAGTACTTCCACTTCCATAGCTTAAGCTTTTAGCCCATCTTGGAGATGGTGAAACAACACTATCTCTTCTTCTTGTTCTACCACTTGACTTCTCCTCTATTACACTACAGCTCCTCACAGAAGGAGAAGGAGAAGCCTGAGTAAAAGAAAGAATTATCAGATAATGTCACAGAGAAGTAAAATCATTTCTATAAAACTAACTTACAGCAGGATAACTTCGAGTTCTTGAAACATGTAATTTCATGTCATGAACATGACTCTTAACCATAGATGGATCTATTGACTCTCTTCTCTTTCTACCACCACCCAAACCCATCCAACTTCTTCTCCTAGCTGCTGAAGAAAAAGTTGAAGAACAACTTGAAACCATTGACTCTGTATCATCCTTTTCCTCCATGACACTTGAAAGGTTCTTTAACATCCCAGCATCTGTAAAATTCATCTCCGAAACACTTGAATTATTGCTCCATCTTGTTCTTCTTGGCCTCTTCACTTGGTTGTGATTGTAGCTTTCCTCTGTATCAGACAGGCTTGCACAAAACTTCTCTATTCTTTCTTTAGGGATTAGATCAATAGGTTCACCGGTGCAAGATCTTCTCCCTGGTGTTGGTCTAATGCCTTTGATCATTGGAACTGGATAAGAAAATTCAAGCTTGTCGACAAATATTAATTGACCTATCTGTAACTTGTCGTAGAGGACAAGATCGTTCTCTTCTCGGGGCAAGGAGGCATACATTGAATGTGTTGAGTCTGAGATTCTCAAGAAGAAACCTTTGTTTGGCCATAACCCTCCAGCTGCTAACACAGGGATTATGCTTCTTATCTGGAGCAACACTGGTCTGTGATCAACGTCTCTTCGCGCTTTCCCTACACCCATTTCCTCTAGAAGTTTGAAAAGGACACCTGATCTTAGTTCTGCCATTTCCACCGGTAATGATTCTTGGGAGATTTGTATTAGAAGAAACAGAGAGAGATAAGAAGAAAGAAGGTTGTGTTTCTCAATCTGCTGCATGCATTCAGACAAGAACAAGATTGGTTGAATCTGATGTTTTCCTTTTTTTAAGTTTTGATTCTATTCAGAATGAAGAAAGAGGTTTACTTTTTGTGATAAATGCCCTAATATTTTTTTCTGTTCCGTGAGTTCCAAGCAAGCAACAGATCATTCCTTCTCTGTTATTAGTCATTGCCTTGTTTTGACAGTTCTCTATTACTATTATTGGTCATTCTTTTCAATGAATACAATAAGTCAGCTGTGTTACAAAAAGAATACAATAAGTCAGTTAAAAACCAAAACAAACAGTTTATCTATTCTATTTGATTTATATAATACATTAATATAATAAATAAATAAATAAAACAAATTAATAGCATTGACTTGTATGGAAACTTATTACATAGAATGATCACATTTATACATTTTTTTTTTTAGTTTTCTTACAGAAGCTCAACGTCTATCTGCAAGCTGAGTCTTTGTTGCTATATTCTGAGAAGAAGAATATTGATTCGCAGAATCTTGATCAAAACCTGATGAAGTGTTATCAACCATATCCATTGTCACAGGTGGCTTGTACTCTGATCTTGTTCTACGGTGAGAAGAACCTTCTTGTTCCATCATTAATGGTTGGTAGCTACGGCTTGATCCTAAGGACATCAATCGATACATCTGATGTTGAGGCTTATGGTGTTTCTTGATAGCATGAATCAAATATGGAATTAACCCCTCCATTTTAATATTCTATGTATTGGTTCTATATAAGAAAACATCCTACAGAGAAGCCTAATATTTATATCATGTTTGAATAAGATGAGAAATCAAATATGTCTTTGTATTGAATTGACAACACTAGTATTGGTTCAAATATTTGGGGATAAGTATTGACCCAGTTAGTGATATTATACCAAAATTTTGTTTGACTTTCGTCATAATTGATGATAGCATGACGTTATTGAATGTGAGAATAAGAAACTGTTGAATCTCAAGCCAATGTGACGTTGAGGTGATGACTGATTTGTTGATCACTGTTAGATCCAGTAACAAGCTTGTGGTGTTCAGTGATTAGTTTCCTTTCACCATCAGTACCCACAAGGGTAAATCCTTTGCAAGGGTCGAACGTTAACTACTAACTTCTAAACGTAATGTTTGTATAAGTAATTTTTAAATGACAAGTTTTAAATCTCCATGAGCTGAATCTTTTTGTTTTCTTACTTGCATATAAGAGTGTTTTCCACCGAGTAAGGAGGAACAGGATGCGAAGTTTAAGAAAAGGGTTTTCGAAGAGCGACTTCTTGGATAATACAAACAACACAGAAAATTTAAGATGTCTGTTTCATGTGTCTGGTCCTAAAGTAAGTTAGAGATGCAGATCTTCAATGTCTCTAAGTGGTTCCGCAGATCTCTTGTTGTCCGGTTGGTTCACCACTAGCTGACCGCAAGCACCGCTAATATCCTGACCCATTTCTTTGCGAACCGTGGTTCGTATATTGTAGGTTTCCCTCAGGATTTTCTGGAAACTTGAGACGCTTTGTTTGGTGCTGGTCTTGAACTGGCTTGTTGACCCAATTGGGTTGAATGGTATCAAATTTATCACCTGTTTTTTTATTTTTGAGAAAACATGCACAGAGTTTCCATAAGATAGTTGCAGAAGCTTTTAAGAGTACTATTAAGAAAACCAAAGATATTTTACCACTTGAAATGTCTTAAGCAATTCACCGAGTTGATGAGCGTTCTCCTCTTGATCATTTACTCCATCAAGCATGATATACTCAATGAAGATCTTTTGTTGACTAATTAAAATCCAAGTGAGGAACCACTATGTTATTAGCTGCTTTGAACATCTCTTAAGTAGCAAAGAAGGAGTGAGGGGAGCAGAGCTACCTATTTTTCTGGAAAGCTTGAAGTGAATCCATAAGCTTTTGAAGAGGAAAGGCTCTAGCTGCTGGCATGATCTGGCACCGGATCTCTTGAATTGGTGCATGAAGAGATACCGCCAAACTTATACCCGGCAGATCATTGTGAAGCTTGTTTATCGCATGGACTACTCCAACCTACCAAAATTAAATACGAGTTAGTGGTGAGAACAAGCAAAATAACAAAGAGAATATTTCTTCTCTGCATCATGAATGTTGCTTTCACAGTAGTACTCACAGTTGAAATGGTAATTCTTTTGGGTGAGAGCTGAAAAGGCTGTTTTAACATGGCACGTACAGCTTCAACAACAGCATTGTAGTTATTCAACGGTTCTCCCATTCCCTGATCAATCACAATCACCAAAACCAAAGCCAAAAACTGGTGAAAATGTACTTCAATGAGATGCATCATTAACAAGCAATACATACCATGAAAACAATGTTGCGTATATCAGCTAGGCGAGAAGCATGAACTAGCTGCTCCAAAATCTCTCCTGATGTTAAATTACTCTTGAATCCCATGCTACCAGTTGCACAAAACGTACATCCCATTTTGCAACCAACCTGTTTATAAAAACACTTATATCAGAGATGCTCCACAATAATTAAAAAAAAAAAACAAAAAAACAAAAAACAAAACCTGAGATGAAATGCATAGAGTAGATCTAACACCACCTGGACGTGGCTTCCCTCCACACATACCCAACCTTGTATCATACCTCATTATCACCGCCTCCACAAAAGCTCCATTCTTTTTTAAAATCAAGAATCAAATTTATGAGTTTCCATCATTCTAAAGACCACAATACTCGTCATCATCGTACCTGGAGCTTGATGAGGAGTTTAGAGGTGGTGCCATCGGATGAGTGGAAGAGGGAGTGGAGAGACGAAGTGAAAGTCTTGAACTTTGAATGGAGGAGAGTGTATGCGGCGGTGGGCAACGAAGGGATCTCGTCCCAAACGCAATCGGGATTCTGAATTACATACTTCCATATCGGAATCATGAAATTAGGGTTTATTCCCGCCGACTCGAACTCCGATTTGATTTCGGAAGCATCGAATATAGATTTCATCTTCATCGAGATTCTCGCCGTCGCCGTCGCCGTCGCTAAGTTTCGCCGATTTTAAAAGACCTAAACTTTAAATACCCGTCGCCGAAAATAAAAGAAGCTAAACCGGTTCCGGTTTTGGTGGGAAATATAAATACGGTTTGATTACAACGCAGAGCAAAATGAAAATTAACATTATTTTCTTCTCAAAAGACAGTTGATAATTCAATCATAAACATTTTAAACAAGATTCTTTAGCTGATAAAAAAAGGTTATTGATTTTTCAAAGAGTTAAATGTAAATGTACATGCAAAAGTCGAAGATTTATTGGCTTCTTTAAGCTGCATACGTTTTATGTATTTTAGTGTAGAAACTGATGTTATGAGTTTACATAATGAAATATGTTCTATTTTCCAGCACAGCCTTATTAGCTTTAACTTAAACGTACATAAAAATTTGTAAACATAACTTAAGTTGGATTAATTTAAGACTAACGCAAGATTCTATATAGGAGGTGGAGACATTTCATTATCCGAGCCGCTTGGAACCAATCTTTTCATTCCAATATCTAATATGAAATGTGGTGGAGAAGGTGGAGACGTTTCATTGTTTGGACCGGTTGGAACCAATCTTTTCATTCCAATATCTAATATGACATGTGGTGGAGAAGGGGGAGACGTTTCATTGTTTGGGCCGGTTGGAACCAATCTTTTTATTCCAATATCTAATATGACATGTGGTGGAGAAGGGGGAGACGTTTCATTGTTTGGGCCGGTTGGAACCAATCTTTTTATTCCAATATCTAATATGACATGTGGTGGAGAAGGTGGAGACGTTTCATTGTTTGGGCCGGTTGGAACCAATCTCTTCAATCCAATATCCGCTAGAGAAGCTAGAGATGTTTCATTGTTTGGATCACTTGAAATCAGTCTCTTTATTCCAGTATCTGATATGTAATGTGGTGGAGAAGGTGGAAACGTTTCATTGTTTGGACCGGTTGGAACCGTTCTCTTTACTTCATCATAAGGAACTTTTCCAGACACATCGAAATCAAAAGTAAAAAAGAAATTATCACGAATCGCTAACGATAACGTGATAAATAAGAATTGAAACACCAGAACTCCCAAAAAACTCTTCATGTTTTTGATTTTTGATTTTTTCTGTTGGTGATTGATATGTTGAGAAATGAAGGAATATGATATATTTTATAGATAGTGAAAATCAAAAAACAAAATAAATTTGGATTACTTTCTTAAAATGGAGATTTTGTCTTTTCAAAAAAGCTAATGAAATTTTGTAACTGATCACGATTTTAAACATTAATCACTTAGATGCATGATCATTAATTTATTGCAAATATTGACAACATAAATTTTAATGACAAACACACACATATATATATATATATGTATCTTCTATTTATTATAAAATTAGATGCATGATCATTAAATTTTAGGAAATAAATCCAAAATTTTGTCTAGAGACTAATAAAATTATTAAATAGAAAAGCTAACATAATAAATGAAAATATGAAAACAGTATAAAATCCTTTAAAGTTTTAAGAATTAAAATTTAAAAATGCTAAGAAAAATAAATATCGCAACAACTATAGATAGTGAAAATGAAAAACAAAATAGCCTTTGGCCTACTTTCTCGAAATGAAGATTTGGTCTTTTAAGAAAATTAATGAGTTTTGTTTTAGTCATCCAAATGTTAACCTCATCACTGATGACAATTTTAAACATTAATCAACCATGCTCTCACCAAAACAGTTGAAAATATAAGCAATGTAAATTTTAATGACAATATATATATAATTATTTTTATTATAAAGTTTGATATACAATCATTTTTTCTTCAGGAAATAAATCTGAAATGTTTTAAGAGATTTTAGTAAAATTATTCTGAAAAATCTAGCATAATAAATGAAAATATGAAAACAGTATAAAACCTATAAAAGTTTAATAATTCAAAAGTAAAAATACCGAGGAAGAAAATATTATCGAAATAAATATAGATAGTGATATGAAAAAATAACCTTTGGATTACTTTCTCAAAATGAAGTTCTATAAAAAAATATTGTATAGGTTTGGACAAATATTTCTGGGACCAAAAAATGAAACCAAAAATTTATTCACGAAATTTTAACGGGTATTACTAAAAAATATTTTTATTTTTTAACAAAATAAATTTAAAGTTTTTAACTTTTTAAAATAAACAGACATCATTAAAAAAAATTTAGACATAAAGGGTTTGTCTAGAATGAGATCATGCTCATAAGAGAAAAATAATATTCTCCAAAGATCATGCTCATGAAATATGTAATACTCACATTCTTGATTTATAAAGTCGATATGATTTTTTTGGCATCAATTTATCTAGTCCTTTTAATCTCTTATGAAGTTCAAGTTCAGAACCCTGAACATGTCAAGTTCGTATGATGACTTACGGGTTATTGGAAGATGAATTTGTGTAGAGTCTTGAATTTGTGTAGAGTCTGTAGATTTTAAAAGTTAACAGATTTATAAATTATGTGAATTATGAATACATATATATATAATACATATATATATATATATATGTATGTTGACTTATAAAATTTGATCATAGTTTTCTAGATTGCAACAGATTTTCATGAACTTGTATTTTCCTTTTCTATATTTTCTTTCGTAAAATATATATCTATATGATTTATATTTGAGAAATTCTCTAGTATAACTATTTTTAAGCTTTTATCAGAAAAATATATTTTAAAAGTAGAAAATATTTTAAAATTAGAAAAATAGAAAATATTCTAAAAGTAAAAAATATTTTAAAAGTAGAAAATATTGATTAGAAGAGTAACTAATACTAAACTTTTTTTTTGTTTAGAGTTAATAGGTAGGGTTTTAGGGGTGTGATTTAAAATATTCAAAATAGAAAAATAAATATTAAAATTTTTAAAAATAGTTTCAAGAAGAATTTTCAAATTTCAAAAATAATTGTTTTTAAAGAAATTGCAAAACAAAAACGAAAAAATTATAAAACAGTTTGAATCTGAAAACATAAAAAAATATTTTTTTATCTTTTTTTATAATTATATATTTATAATCTATATTTATAAAGAAAAGAGTAGAAAATCTTTTGGTTTTTCATGAAACCTCTTTTGATCACTTTTATATATTATTTTATTAGTTTTTATTTTTAAACAAAAAAAAATTTTAATTAAAAGGTAAGTAAATAAAAATGTAATGAATTATAATTTGAGACTTATGATTTTGATTAAAGGTGAAATATATATTTGGTAAGAAGAATTATTTTTTCTCTAGATGTTTTAATCACATAGATATTGAAAATCTCATGGATACATATGATATTTTGAAAGTTGTGTATTATGTGTTAAAGGATAGAGAATTCATCTTCAAATAAGACTAAATTTAGTTAGAATTAGAGAATCAATAATGACTAGATTTTTTGAATATCAAGGTATTTGAATAGATTTTGAAAATTCTTAAACCAATAATAATGGATTTATTAAGAGTTTTAAAATCCATGAACCAATAATAAAGAAATTTCAAAATTTTCAAAGTTGATGAGAATTTACCTCCGATAACCTCCCCTTAATCTGATTTCTAAGTTGTTAATAAAAATTTTCATTAAATCTCTTTGTGTAATTTTTTTAATACACAAAATGGAAAGTAAACAATAGAGGGATATTTAGTTACAAAAAATTGGATTTATTAATGATTCAATATTAATTGTTAGTCAATATAAATAGGTGTACCAATGATTTCCAGAAATTTTTAATAAGAATATTTGTTGATTAGTTAAAGTAAAAAATATTGGAATTTCATTTAAATATTAATAACATGATATTGTAATTCGAAAAAAAAAAAACTAAGGACAAAATCCTATTGTATTCAAAGATTCTATAGTATAGATCAACTACATTCTCACCAAAACAATTGAAAATATAGACAATGTAAACTCTAAATGTATTGTAAACTAAGATGAGAATGAGAGAAAGTAATGGGGAATTCTCTGTATATTATTACTGATGAATATATGTTCCTTTATATAAGGACTTACAAGAAGAGATAAATGGAAAGTATCCAAATCCTAAGTACACATAAATGGTAAGTCTTGGCCGACAAGGAATAAGGTAAAGTCGGCTGCTCTCTTGTCTTGGGTAAANTGTTCCTTTATATAAGGACTTACAAGAAGAGATAAATGGAAAGTATCCAAATCCTAAGTACACATAAATGGTAAGTCTTGGCCGACAAGGAATAAGGTAAAGTCGGCTGCTCTCTTGTCTTGGGTAAAGGCGTGTGGGCCTTAGGTCTTCTTGGTCTTGGTCTATGGTTATGGCCCATCCACATAATGTGTCCATAACACTCCCCCTTGGATGGTCTAACCATATGGGTCTGTACCATGCTTAATGTTGCCTCGTTAAAACCTTCTCTAGGAAAACCAAAAACCCGAGGTGGGAAAAATGGAAACCTCAGACAAGGAAAAAGAGTACAACACATGATACTCCCCCTGATGAATGCATCACTGAAATGTCTGATGCATTCCAACCTGGTCGGTAGAAAACTGGTCTGCTCGGTTGCTGCTAAACCGAACTCGAACTTCTGATATCTTCTGGAAAAACTCATGTGTGAGTACTGCTTTGGGCTGGACGTCTTCTATGTCTTCTGGAACTCCATTAGGACTTGGTCCAGTCGTGCATCATCACAACTGACCACTCTAATGTCCTGGTCGGAACAGATCTCCTGGTCGGACGGATGTCCTGGTCGGATGGTACTTGGACCAGTACTCGGATGGACCTTTGATCAACGATCAAGTATTACTCATAAGTCCTCTTATGTCCCACGGTTCTTGTAATCATATGGCCTCTGCCATACCGTGGACACCTTAATATATTGAGTCATCTTGCAATACTCAAAAATCTCATGTCTTAAAACATGTATATGCATGGACGATATGCAAACTTTTACTCTATACTTTGTCGGATAGGTTTCATCATACTTTGAACCTTATTGCCATGAACCTTTAGTTATACACGTCCAATGCCTTTCCAAAACATATCTATTCCAGTCTTATGGCGTCCCATGACCTTTCTTATCTTGGCTTAACCAAGTACTGGAAACTTCATCCGGTCATGGACCTTGTCCAACACACGCACACAACTTGCCAAGTATGCCTAAGATGTTGTTGTCGGCGTGTTGCTATCATGACTCATGTATCACTGTTGGTTCCTTAGGACTTCTCTAACCATCAGTATACCTTTGCCGTAGACCATCTAGATGTACTAGGTCATAGACCTCGACCAAACACAAACCGGTTGGTACTTCCTTCTACGGTCATGTACATATGCGCAGTCCCACTTGCTTTTTTTTTTTGTATGGACATTAATCACACGTTCCTATGGACTGCTACATGATAACTGATCGTACTCAGATCAAGGGAACACAAGGATTTATCACGTGACCATCTCATATGTCACTTGGGGCGTGCTGGTCTATACACATACACCCACGGCTATGGTTTCTGCTGCAAGTCATTGTAGCCATAGCCTGTCTAACCATTGAACCACTCTATGGGTTGGTTTAATATAAACACAAGGAATCCATACATCTTTCACATGATCACATGGACTGATATGAATTCGTTCTTAAAGAACTCTCACTTAGTCTATCAATCTGCAGCTGCCTTATTTCAGTCCATAAACAGCTTAGGAACAAAGCTGTTCTTGAGAACTTCTTTCTCATCTTTCTTATATCTCTTGGTACCTTTAACATTGTATATCCAGTGAACCATATGCTACTCATTACATGCTTATATGTCAATCTATTGACCAGACTTTGTCAAACTCGGAATTACATAGTAGCCTTCACCACATTGGAGCATATCTCCTTATAAACTGTTCCTTAGTCCTTGTGAGTATCCTTGTGTCATCAAGCCATGCTTGAGTGTTATAAGAAGGCACATGAACACTTCTAGACCACGTGGTCATGTCCTTTTGTCTCACGGTTTTCTCACAAGACCTTATTCATCACTGGTTTATCTGATGGCGTTTCTATATGGCCAATACGCCCATCACTCTTTACATACTATAACCCCACGGTTTCTTTATCAACCTTTTATGAATGAGTACTCT